ACTCATTGCTGGCTGTGGCATTGGTTATTTTTTCTTATAATAGATGCTATACCAGTTAGAGAACTATGGGGTAAAGTAAAAATACTTGGTAAATCAATTTTACATGCATGGGCATATGCTGTGTTAGTAACAGTTCACAGGCCTGACTATGCTAATAAAGTCATTAAAACACAAAAGGAATAAAGGTTGATGTACAAACCTATCATGTGTTGGCAAACTACATAAATTGTTTAACTACTTAATTCTGCCAATCTATGTCACCCCAAAGTTTTAAAGCATTAATTAGAATTTTTCCTTTTCCTTTGTAAATGCAAGCTGTTCCATAACAGAATCAGTGAAAGCTTGCTTGCTTTTTGATTTTGTCCTTTCCTCCTGTCCTGGTTTCTGCTGGGACAGAGTTAATTTCCTTCCTAGTAGCTGGTATGGTGCTGTGTGTATTGGATTTAGTACTAGAAGAATATTGATAGCAACAACTAAAACATCAGTGTGTTAAGTAGTGCTTAGACTGGCCAAGGACTTCTCAGCTCTGCCAGGTGCATGAGAAGCTGGGAGGGGACACAGCCAGGACAGCTGACTCAAACTGGCCAAAGGACTATTCGATGGCATTTGTCTTCCCAAGTAACCATTACACGTGATGGAGCCCTGCTTTCCTGGAGATGGCTGAGCACCTGCGTGCCCATGGGAAGTGGTGAATTAATTCCTTGCATGCATGGCTTTTGCTTTACTTATTAAACTGTCTTTATCTCAACCCACGAGTTTTCTCACTTTTACTCTTCTGATTCTCTCCCCCATCCCATTGTGGGGGGAATGAGCGAGCAGCTGTGTGGTGCCTAGTTGCCAGCCGGGGTTAAACCATGACACCTCCAAAAGTGTTGCCTATATTCTGCTTCTTCCCATGTTTTCAGAGATCTGTCTGCTAACAGACCATAACTTCAGAGCAAAACTATGACAACAATAAACACTTCATTGGCAAAATTTAACCTGCAAAAAGCTTCCCCCCCCCATTTCAAAACCCCCTCACACACACAAAACCCTGCCAGAAAAAAGCCACTTTCCACAAGGATCATTCTCCCAGAAACCAGACTCACAGTACCAGAGCTGCGCACAGAGCCACTGCAGAGATACCCGACACAGAGGTATATTGGTACCTCCAACATAAAGGTGTTAATTTTCCATGGCAGATGACACTGAAACAGATACATCTAATTTACACACAGTTTGGAATACAGGGCTTTCATGTATCAGCTATTGGAACTGCAACCTAAAATCCATCACTAAGTCAGAAATATTCTGCATACCTTAGTATGAAAAGGTATGTATATTATCAAACTTCTGTAAAAAAGCTATGGTACTTGGACCTAGAACCGAGTTCTTCAGTGGAAGACTCTAGTGAAGAACTGACTGCTAAATCAGTTGGGAAGAGTAAAAACATTCTTAAACTTAAGTGTCTGCCAGCACACAGCTTAGCCAGCTCTCTTATCAATAGCTTTCTAATGGAAACTAAGCGGAAGTCAAATACTTGCCTCTCTTTTATAGAGCTTGTAAAGTGACAATGTATTTATTTTATGTGTGGTAAAACTCCTGTAAATTCTAGATTCAGTTCCCTTTCATCTTACCAGTACACCACCATTTGGCCATTTGTGTTTACAATGTAAATCAAAAACGTTATTTTTGCTGAAACAAAGTTTTACTAATTTAATCCATTTTCTTCTTCCCATTCCCTCATCATTTTTAAGTACATAAACTCTCTAGAAATTATATGAATAAAGAGATTTGGCAACTTTGGGTACCTATATTTAAATCTACATTTCCATCTGACTGTACAGATGACTTTTTATATTCATGTGGTTTTTTTATATTAAATTTGTTCATAGCCAAATATTGTACTTCCAAATTTCATAACATTTCCTTACCTCCCTCTTAATACCAAGTCTCTAGTCTGCATTATATTGATATTTAAAAAGGTGCAGCTGTCCTTTTACTTTTATAACATCTAAATGTCATAATTTATGGGGAATATTATGCATGAACTATCTAAAGTTTTTGGGTTGATCACAAAAGCCAAAAGAAGTGAATATGAATAAAAACAAAGGGACACAAGTAATTTTGTAGACAAACCAGCCAACTGCTGGGTACCTAGCTGTGCACTAAAGCATTTTCATCATCTGTTATCAAAAGTTGTTTATGTGCATTTCAGTATTTATATTTGCATTAGTTAAGAAAACAACAAAGCTCCAGCATTTTTATCCATCTTTACACCACTTTCAAGCTTCTACTTTTTCTTATCTACTCTAACAAGGACTGGCTTCTTGTAACAACTTCTTAGACTTCTGTAAAAAGGAAAAGGTTGATTGGTAGAATACCCTGGAAACATTTGTCATTTAATCACTATTTTTAAAATAAAAGTGCTATTGAAATATCCCATTCTCACTTTCAACTATCTACAAATGATGTTTAGGTTCCTACCAAGAAACTCTATAATACAAACTTGTGGAACAAGTACAGCATACACAGTATCAGTTAAATAGTATATAACTGATTTCACAAAAGGAAGTAATAGACATTTGTCAGCTATTTGACATATGAAGCTTCATGGAGAAATTATACAATGAGAAAAAGGCATACAGATTTATCAGTAATCATTATACTGCTTTAACACTGCAGTAGACTTTGCTTGCAATGATTGTATCAGTTTTGACAACAACTGAACATACTTACATTTAATTTTTGACCTAATCTGTCTTTGGTGTCTTTCACACTGCTTTACTGCTCTCATCAGTCTAGGAAAAAGCAACTAAAGGGTAAAGGACTAACAGTAAAAATGGCATCTATTCAATCACTTTTTAAAAAAAGATTATTTTATGAACTAGGAGGGGAGGGGGATATATAGTCAGCCAGCATTTTTTCAACATAAAATAACCCAACTGTATTACATGTGGCCACTTCATGAAGAAGAAAAAAGGGCACAAGAAAACACGATATAGCCTCAGCTAAGAACAGTTTAGAAGATCACAAATACAAAATGAAACCTGCTTCAGATGCACCAAAATGATTCACCTGACTTGAAATTCAATGTGACTGAATTCAGAGTAGAGATGCCAGCACATTTTTCTTGCATGCTTGCTCCTCTCAAAACATACAGTACCAAATATGCTACCAAATATACTCAAGTGCAAAACTAGCAACCATTCAAAAATGCATTTCTAATCTTTATTTTAATAATACCAAAAAACAGGTAAGTAAGTCTTCCTAATGGTACAACAGTTCCAGGCCCAGCTCCATACAAGTTTTAGTAGGCTTCTTTCAGATTTTCAAACCAGACACTTATGTTAAGCATTTCCATGCTATATGAACCACTTCTTCCAGCTGAAAACTGTTCCACTGAAAAGTTAGATAGGTTTATAGAACTGGAAATGAAGAATATTCAGGAGATTTTTCTAGTGTTATAGGAATTAATATTACAGGCAATATTTACTCTCAAAATACTTTCAGCCAGCAGCAGAAGCTAAGTTAGGGCTGGCAAGAAAGAGCAGCAGAAGTTACAATATTCCCCATTTACTGGCAATAATTCTTTTTCTAATAACTGGGAAGTAGATAAGATCTCTAAAACATAAACACATTTAAAAGTATATCAACAATAGTCAGTACAATCTTCATCTAAGAAATGCTGTAGTATCACCATATTGAGCAAGCACAGCCTCCATAGCTGCTCTCTCAGTATAAGAAGCATTTTTACTTGTCAGACACCTCATAAAACCAACTTACAGACTTTCCTGTAATTTGTTTACTACTACGAAATTGGTAGACTGCAGAAAAATTGCTGTGCTGCTTTACACTTCTTGTTTTGGAAACTTTCAACCATAGTCTAGTTTCTAGAAACATAGACTAGCCAGACCTGTAGTCACTTTACAACTTCACTTAAATTACATTACAGATAGAGAAGCAGTTCATCAAAGGACATATTGCAACTAAACCAGCAGATATGAGAAGGTAAGATAGATATGTGCAGCATTAATCTTTCTAACCCCTGAAATATCAAGTTAAAAAAATCTTACACAAATGATTCCACTGCAGCAGTCTAGTAAATATTCCTCACAACTGTTGGTCTGAAATCTACGCCTGTAAGTTCCTAGCTGAGACAAAAGTTTTACCTAAGACATTAGCAAAGAGCACAATTTTCTTTTTCACTGTCTATCAATCTACTCAGAACAAGGCTCACATATACACTAGCAACTGATGTTTCAACAGAAACAACCAAAAAAACATCCAAATGCTAAAAAAAAAAAAAAAAGTCAAAGCTCTTCATGCTTGAAGTCCTGAGAAGGTGTACAGGAACTTGAAAGAAAAACTATTTCCCAGTTCCATATCATTGTTATGGATGATTTTTACCTAAGAAATCGTTCAAATTCATTGAAGGAACTTTAAAGCATTCATTTCTTGTATTGCATTCAAGAAGTAATGATGGCAAACATCATTAAGTGATTGCAGTTTTCTTAATTTTCTATATACAGATGATATAAACTTTAACTATTCTAAAGCAGTTTTTTTACATTCCATCCAAAAGACACTAATTTCTCTGTATGGCTACTTTGTACAAATAGATGAAGCTGTCTAACTCAATAAAATCCCAGGATTAAAATCTAATGAGTTGCATCCAAAATGGGCAAAGTTAATAGGTTTTCTGAGTAAGAGTGAAGCCTAAGGAAAAGATGCTGAAACACGAAAATTTGCAGTATTTCAGAAAGAATATATTCAAAATACTATATTAATAAAGGCCAACGAACAGTTCAAAGTTTCTTCCATTTGACATGTATTTCAGTATACGTGCAAAGTAAAACAAGAGCCACTTATACACATTTATTCCATCTATCAGTCAAGCAGTACTTCAAGGTAAGCAGTCTGGCAGGCACGATCCCCTCACTTTTTGTTTCCCTTTAGTTTCTATACGGACCACACTGCATTATTAATTGCAAGTTAAAATAAAACAAGTTGGGCCTTACCTCTGTCACTGAAGTCATCCACAAGAATGATTTCTGCTACCAGGCTGTCTGGAGTGCGGTTGATAATACTGTGTATTGTTCGCAAGAGTGAAGTCCAGCCTTCGTTATGAAATGGGATAATTATGCTAGTATTGGGTAGCTTTTCCAAGTACACCTTGTGCTTACAGCTGGAGAGAGAAGAAAATAACTGCATAAGCATACTGAAAAGTCCGAGTTGGCAAATACTGCCATTCATTTTGGCCATTCAAGCATCATGGTTTCTGGCATAAAATCCAACAGTGTAATCAAGCAGTGCTTTTATGTGACAGTAACTAGTTCATTTAAAATATTTATATTGCTTACAACATAGAATACATTGGAACAATGACAAAATTTAAGTACACTGGCTGAAATTAGATTCTTTTCCTTCACTGGAAACTTTCTCCTGCAAAATGACAGAGGGCATACAATCTACAATATTATTTCTAGAAAACAAATCCTCTTACCAGAAAGAATTCTGAAACATAATATGAAGCAAAAGAAAATCTGAAATGATTTTTTTTTTTAACACATAGCAGACAAAATTCATAAAAGCAGTCCACTATACAGAGACAAATGCTAGAAAGCAATTCAGTGTCATTATCCTGATGGGCTCACAGTATACAAAACAACAACATCCACAAATATAAGTCCAGATTCACATCTAGATATCCAAAATGATTGCTGCTGTTAAACATAGAGATGAAACAACATATGATTCTGAAGAAGCAAACAGTTACAAGCAAGAAAATATAATCAACCTTTCATTTTTGAAAGGAAAGTACTGCACCTTCAGCATCTTAATTGAACAGCATGTAATATCGGTGCTTAACCTTACTATTTTTAATATTGACTTCCTTACATATTTGAGAAAAAAAACATTCTTTAAAAATAAATAATGGGTTTGTAATTCAGTTTCTCCTAATAGCTGAGAATATTTCATGTGTAATGTTCAGGTTACTGAAACTGATAGGATCTCATCTTTCAGGTTTTGTTGAAAAAGTGGGAAAAGGGATATATTCCTCTGTTGCTAACACGGCATGGCATTTTCACCTCTGGGGACAAAGTAACTGAATGATTTCTCATTTCCCAAGAGAAAGTTGCGAAAGTTGCACCCTGAGAAAGGTATCCCTACAAGCAGAAACACATCAGCTTTGCAATAAACAAACAAAAGCAACAACAAAAAAAAAAAATAAAAAAAAAAGGAAAAGAGTTTAGAAGTAGCAGGTCTAGGTATAAAAAAAAGTACAGATATCTTTGCTGCTTCTCAGAAAGAGTAGCTATGCATATCAAACACTGCTGTAGGCTATAATGTTGATTTACATATATTTGTAACTTAGTTTGCATTTCCACTTTATAAATGTCACTTAGAAATCAATATTTACCGATTTATTGTACAGCTACCACACTGAAGAAGTGTTCCAAAGAAATAATAAAAACTCATAGCTCCTAGAGTTGTGTTTGCACAATATTAACTGTTACGTAGTTGTGAATAAAAAAAAAAAAAAAAAAAAAAATCATCAAGTTTTTGGATGTTTTCCCAAACAAGATTCAAATTTGTAATTCAGACTTTTCTTCCCAAAACCCAGAGACAATGAATTTAATGACAAGCCATTTGCAAAAATAATACTTTTTGAAACTTTTTAATAAGCTGGATTGCTGGTAGAACTGGAAAAAGGACAGTTGCTTTGCAAGAATGTGAAGTTTGGAGAAAACCATGCTCATTACCTAGTGACAGAAAAGGATACGTATTCTACCATTTGGGAGGAAAAAAAAATCCACTGCAGCAACAGAATTAAGTAAAAACTTTTTTTTAGAGGTAGGAAGTAGTACAACAAAGGAAGTCCATTATTAATATGTAGCTGTTTCAGCTGGAAAATTAAGAATACCACCAACCAAACCCTCCACCTACTGTTGCCAGATGTTTGCAGACAGAGATGCTTCTTGGACTAGAACAAACGCAACTACTATACATGCATGTTATTCTTATGCTATTCCCAAAAGCAACATTTTTCCTTTAGCATTTTTAACTCCAAGTAAGCATGATTTTAAAACTAGTAAGTTCTCCATCTCCATAAAACCCCAAGCCAACAAACAAAAGCAAAAAATACCACACAAAACCAAGCAAAAGAACCCTCCACCATGTCAGACAATAACTTCTAAAGGGTAAGGGGGAAAAAAAATAATACCCAAAACATCCAAATACATCAGAGTGTTGTTTCTTTTTAAAAATGTCTCCCCTCATGTATAACAATATACCTTTTGAAAGAGGTTTGCTGAAATTTGTATATTTGCATGGTCAATATTGTAACCTTAAGTGTATACATATGCGGAAGGTCATTGGATTTAGATATTCACATTGATGGTTTCAGAGTAATTGCATATTCTAAGTGATGAGGAGGAGAAGTGGCATTGATGGCCCTAGTTTTAAACTACTGCATTCTTCCTACAGAACAGATTGCTCTATTAACCCTAAAAGAGAGCTATGCTTAGAAGACTGAAGAGGAAAACACCTTACATTTTCTTAACATGTCTCCATCATTCCACTTTGACCTTTAATCCTCATTTATTCTTACTTTGAAAGTCATTGCAAAAGTACTTGGCAACACATGAATTGATTTCTATTAAGCACCACAAACCACCAAAATGCCCTTTCCTACTTTTCTCAAAAAAAGCTGGTCATGTTCTCAAATTCATGGAAATGAAACCTTAAGTTTCATCATACTATTGAGATAGTCTGTCAGTTTTCATGGAGGTGGTCTAGTTACCTTTCTTCAGCTCATTTTTAGCCCCTTGACCTCCAGCATGAGACCCTAACTGTAATAGAAGTTCATTATGTTTTAGAAGGCGTAACACCAAAATTTGTAGTTTTATTCGGCATTATCTATAGCAGAGTATAGCTGGGTCTGTGCTGTGATGGGCTGCAGGACAGATCTGATGGATACCTGTAATGCTTAGGAAAGGCCCATAAATTTCAATAAAGATGAAGTTAGACATCCATTGTGAGACAATGGATTTCCCAAGAGAATAATCATATATGCGTGGAGCATTTGTTCAGTCTATCAGTGTGGTTCTTTATATCCTGCATTTTAGAAGCAATGCCAAATGCCCTGGCTGCCAGAAGGCTACTTAGAAGCACAGACATTAAATCTTGTAAGCCATTGCTAGTCTTCAAATTACCAGCCAGGTCTTTCTGCCTAGAACAAAGAACCAGTTATCATATCACTAGGTCAGAGTGAATTCCACAGTCATAAAGTATTATTATATTTAAATTTATTAATGGTGCCTACAATATAGAATAAACCAGTCTAGACAGATGTATGATTCATGTATTAAGCAGAAAAGATAAGTTTTTCTATGCAAAATTAACTGACATACATAGATTTATCTTATTTAATAGTTTAAGATTTATGGATTTATGTCAACTCATCTGTGTTTTACTGATGAGAATGATGTTTAAAACAAAGAAGCATCAGCAAAGTTATCAAATAAGCTTCTAGAAAGATACTTTTACCATTAACTGCAACAATTTTGCCTAAGCATCAAAGATTTTTAGAGGTGTTCTTTCAACACTAGTTCATTATCAAAAATTCTGTAGAGTGCATTTGGAGAGGTGCTGACACAAAGTTTGATCATAGCTTCAAACTAACCTTGTTTTATTATTTATGCTGGTTCCAAGGTCCTGACATACCTCTTAATAAATAACTATTTTATTTTTCAGCCACTATAAAGTCATACTTTCAAGTCTACATGCTTTTCGCTCTCACCAAAGTAATCCTAACACAATAACAGTGTTTTAAGCATTCCTAAGCAAAAATACAGACCCTGATTTCAATATGTCTACTCTCTAAAATGAATTTGCTTAATAGCTTAACTACCCTGTGGAACGCATGTTTTGAAAGAGAGATTCTTGATTCACCAAAGAAATGAGAAATTATAATTCAAGAGGCTTTCATATTTCCTGAGGAATGCGACCTTACCAGGATTTATTAAAATAAAAAATAAAGCAAGGTTTACTGTAGCAAGGAAAAATGCTATGTATAAAAGACTACCATTACCATCCAATTTTAACAGTGTTTAAATGAGCACTAATATTCATTAGGTGAGACTTTTTGAGTTAAGTTATATATGTTAAATGAAACTGAACTGACTTTCTATAGAAATACTTCAAATACTGCTGAGAAAAATACAATTATTTTCCGAAGCTTCACATTTCAGTGGAAAATTCTGTCAAACTTGTATTGATTTAGAAAATGATAGTACTTGCATACATGAACTCCAGTTGTCAGCCTCCACCTGAAGACACTGCAACCTACTTGCACACTTTAAATGAACGTAGGCACCATGTGGACAGTGTTATTTGGGTAGTTTGAACGGCAGAATAAAGTGTCTAAAGATCACACTGACTTTCATTAAAACTTGGAATACTGGGAAATCCACAGAGGCCTGGAAATAAATCCTAAAAGCAATATTCAAAAAAGTTTAGTAGACTTAAGACAGACAGATAGGCAGTTCAGCCAGTTTCAGTCAGGTAAGGGTTTGCTCCAAGCTCTAACTCAACATAGGAAAGACTGTAACATAGTTGATGTCAATCAACATTAATTTATGCTATTCGTTTCATTACCAAATCCTAGTGCAACTGATAAAGGCAAATTTATTACTGTAGACCTTTAGTATCACACCATATTCTGATGAAGGAATTTAAAAAAGGGTGCAACTACAGGGTCTTTCAAAATTTTCTTTTCAAATTTTTAATACTATTTTAATATTATTATTTGCTATTTTTAGTTTTTTTCCATCAGGAAAGGATTTTGCCCCAATGGTATTTTCATCTGGATTAACTTTTAAAATAACTTGTTAGAATTTTGCAGTAACAAGATTGATTTGAATGGTAAATGAGGACAGGTCATTTGACTCTGATAACTCGGTTCTGTATATGTTGTAAAATGGCTTGTTTGAATGAAATGTATGTTAGTGTAAACATGCACAAAGTCTGAGAGGAAAAATTTCCCATGAAATTTGATAATTTTGCCTATGGGATTGAGGGCAGAAAACTAAATCAGTCTACCTGAAATTAGTACAGCAGCTTTGATCACAATCATTTCTATGAAGGTGTTCTCACTAATCAGTTCTGGCTATGTATGTATAC